TCTTATTCTTTCTCTCTCTCTTCTACCTTCTTCTTCCTCTCCAGATCTAGGTTTCATCACATAAATTAACAATATGATGAAGTTGGTGATAATAAGGAAAGCAATATAAATCACCATAAGGGTTTCTAACACAACATCAAAATCTTCACCAGTTATAATGATTACCAATGGACACAGGGAATAAGCCAAATTTTAATATTAGAGATTATGAAAGCAGTAACAGTGGTAGGTTTCTACCTCATTTGGGAGTACAATTTGTTTAGAACCAACAGTCAAAATCTAAATGTGCCAAATTCATATTCCATATCTTGCTCGTTAGTTTCTTTAATGAAAATGCTTACATGCACTGTCATTTTTTGTCTATGGGTTGCCTCGTTCTTATTCCTTGTGTATGTCATTCGTTCGCAGCTTCCCTGGCATCTCTTCTCATAAAGATCCTAAGGAAGATGAAGACTGTATCTGGAGATCTGAAGATGCATCTCATGATTGGCACCATTTCGTTACTTCTAACTTTGGCTCCAACAAATCCGACAATCTTGAACTGCAGAAGCAGCAAGAGTCGCTAAATCATCTTGCCAAATCTCCCTCTTCTCTTGAAAGGTTTAAATTTGTGAATTTTTATAATTATAGATCTCAAGAATCAATTACTACTTTTAATTAGAAATCTCCCCATCTGGATGTGGATTACCATTTCGCTTTTCAACAGACGCCGGAGTCGGAGAAGAAACAGGGAGCTGTACTCTCTAGATTTCCGTCTATGTTGCAATTGATTAACCTCTATGGCTGTTTTTCTCAAAAACCTACTTCTAATTTCTCGCCCCAAACCCCAAAACCTGACACCCATTACTCGTCGAAGCAAACCGATGAACAAGAACAACCCCAATTTGAAGAAGAAGAAGAAAAGCTACGTAGATCCACTTAACACAAATAAAAACAAAATGCTCAAACATTAGAATCAAATCTCAAGACTCAACACAAATAATCAAAAATCACATCTAAGAAAAAGAAAGAGCAAAGGTAGTAGTCAAAGGAGACACAAAAGGATCAGTCGAGTCCATGGCCGGATGCAAATTGTATGTCAACAAAGAGTTGCTCTTTTGCTCTCACCGCGCAACAAGCTACATCGACGATTGCCTATTCAACGTAATGATATCTCTCTTGGCAGCATAATTGTTGAACTTGCTGTGGAACATGATGAAATAGAGGAAGAGGAAGAGAAAACCCAGAGATAACCCCAAATCTGGAGAAGAAGATGAAAGGAGAAGAGAGAGAGATCTTGGTTTTCTCAAAATCCAGCATTGGTGCACACCCAAATTCGCTTAATCTTTGTATAAATAAATAAAAAAAACCCAAAATGGTGAAATGGAAAAATGGAATGGGAAGAGATTTTGGAGGAGATGGAGAAGGAATGATGGCCCAAGGACGAGAGAGAGACGAGGGGAAGAGTGAAGAAGAACAGGCCTAGGGATGAGAGAGAGAGGGGAAGGGTGAAGAAGAACATGAGAATAAGGAAGAAGAAGGTTAGTTTTGAAAATGATTTTAATTAATTAATAATAATTAATCTCTTATTTATTTGTTAAAATTAAAAATGTCACATAAACAAAAAAAAGTGCCACCTCATCAACTTATGTTTTCTTTTCCACGTCAATATTTTTTTAAAAAAAGTATAATTTTTTAGCAACTTAATGTGCCAATTATCATTTAACTAACGGAAGGACCGTTTCGGTACCAAAAATGAAAGTTTAAAGATAGTTTTGGTACTTTTTAAAGTTAAGGGACAATTTTGGTGTCAAAGTGAAAAGTTGATGGACCAAAATAGTATTTAAACTTATATTTAATATGTGCCATAAGAGTAGAGATTAAAAAAGTTCTTTCATAATATTCTTTCCATTCTTTTTAGTAGATTTAGTTTTTTTGTCTACTAAAATAGATATATAATAATTTATCAATAAAATTTCATATTTATCCCTAATTAAATGTTACTTAAATAAAACTTCTTATTTAATATATATATTGTAATTATCTTTTTAAAATAA